ACGATGAGGGAGCTGGGACCACCCGAGTCCAGTAGGGGCCCCGCTAGCACCGAGTAGTCCACGATGAGGATCCTCAAGAGCCACTCCGAGTCCAGTAGGGGCCCCGCTAGCACGAGTAGAGCTCCAAGACGACCCCGAGGATGCTACCTGTGAACCCGGAGGTGCCCTCTGAGTTCCCGTAGGTGCCCTCTGAGTCTCCGACGTGCATAGCATAGCATAGCGCAGCACAGCAGAGCATAGCATAGCATAGCATAGCAAAGCGCAGCTTAGCATAGCATAGCATAGCATAGCACAGCTTAGCATAGCACAGCGCAGCATGACATAGCATAGCTCAGCATAGCATAGCATAGCATAGCAACTAGTGCTGTTTTCCTAAGGGCTCCAACTTCTAGGTAGGGTCGCACTGGGCATTTCGTATGTACTCGCATCTGCATTGTACTCCGGAATCGTCGTCTGCATGATCGAAAGCTTCTTCTAAGCGCTGCACGTAAGTGCGCTCGTCCATGGGTGGCCATTTCTTAGCCGTCGTATTTGCCTTTGTATGTGTAGCCTTCCGTATTCCAAGTCGTGCTTTGACGGCACGTGGCTTCGGTAATATATTGCTCCGCGGCGCAACGCCTGCATGGTCTGATCCCATATCCAAAGTCGCTTAAGCAACAAAATCCACCACTGTGTACCAGAACCGTCTGACGTAAGAATGTAATCGATGTGTCATGGAGCTTGCCGTCGGGAGCCGTGAAGATACGCGGGCACTAGGTGGGGGCGTTTCGAAAACATAGCATTCGTAATGACGAGGTCGTGCGTATGTTCCCACTGTTTCAACCATTGCCCTCTGTCACCCAGGTCATGCGCATGTCTCCCACTAACCCGCATGTTGTCCTCGTCGGTGGCAGGCCCAACCTGTGCATTGCAGTCTGCACCCATCACAATGTGTAGTCGGTCCCGTATACCTCCTTTAACTGTCTTGGAAAGCTCGTCATACACTACCTGCACTGCTTGGTCGGAGTATTTCCTGTGCGGGAAGTATGCGGCTACGAGCCTGGCACGAAGAGACTTGCCTCGGAGGTCCAAATACGCAATGCGTGCACCGACCGGAACAATTTGTTTGATGTGGTGTGTCCACTGCGCATGTAACAGTATACCAACTCCATGTATGTGGAATCCTCCACCGGAGCCTGCATATATATATATATATATATATATGTGTGTGTCCACCTTCAACGGTGTAGAGCGTCCCACTCACATGCCGAGAACTCCCGCAAGAGTTCAGAAAATCTGCCATCTGATGTTAGCCCTCGGATGTTCTTATGGATCACCACAAATGGTATGTAGGTGTGCCCATTTGCCGCAGGTCGTCGTAAATGTAGTTATCCACTTCCCTCGCCGGGCAGATCCTGCATCCCAGACGAGATCGTCGCAGCCACCAGTCCTGAAGGTGGCTCCTGAAAGGCGCGGGCGAAAAGGGGCTTACCGGGCATATCTCCATCCACCATTCTGAATTTTCCCCTTCCCACCCCCACGTCCTGAAGCAGGCACTCTGGCAAGATGTTGTAATGATATTTGGGTGGATCGAGGGGTCGTTCCCTGAGTAGTTCCAAAACTGATGCTATTTCTGTTGTCCTGAATCTGGGTGTCTAGAAGAGAAGACTCGAGTGAAACATTAGTTGGTGAAACCGCCGCTGGCGAAAAAGTGCAAGTCGTATATCCCAAGTTGGTTCCATTGCGTCCTTCCGCAGCTGGTGAAACATGGCTTGCCGAATTCGGCGGCACCACGTGCACCAAGAAAGCGTGGCACTGGGAGTCGGAGTCGGAGTTGGGATTGGCACCTGGATTGGGGTGGGAGTGGAAAGGAACCTCGGAGATGGGATTGCAACCATCTGTCATTGTAGTACGGGGCGTCTGCATAGCAGTGCGCGGTCGTCGTCGTCACTGGAGGTCGCACGCGGCCTTCCATTCGGCCATGAACTTCTCCACGTCTTCCTTGACAGTGTCACCGGCGCCGTATGTGGTTAGATCGCCATTGTTGGCAACCTTCGCAACGATGTCCCCCTCAATCTTAACCACCTCTGCTTCCCAATAGATGCGTATCGTCTTCCGGTCTATAGTTACCATTTTCGATAAGTCGATGCTTGACCTGGCCGAAGGCGGACCTGCGCGCGCACATGCGCCGGCGGCGGTCTCCAACGCCCGTGCACCTACGTCGGCAGAGGTGTCTTAAGCCCGTGTACCTACGTCGGCAAAGTTCCCTGGGCCCGCGCACCTACGCCGGCAGAGGTTTCCTACGCCCGCGCACCTACGTCGGCAGAGGTTTCCTAGGCCCGTGTACCTACGTCGGCAGAGGTTTCCCAAGCCCGTGCACTTACGTCGGCAGAGGTTTCCTAGGCCCGTGTACCTACGTCGGCAGAGGTTTCCCAAGCCCGTGCACCTACGTCGGCAGACGATTCGTAGGCCCGTGTACCTACGTCGGCAGAGGTTTCCGTGCACCTACGTCGGCAGAGGTTTCCTAGGCCCGTGCACTTACGTTGGCAGAGGTTTCTAGGCCCGTGCACCTACGTCGGCAAAGGTTTCCTAGGCCCGTACGTTGGCAGAGGTTTCCTATGCCCGTGCACCTACGTCTGGGAGGTGTCTGGTGGCCGTGGGGTATACTGTTTACAAGGTCGTGACAGACGTTGCTGGGGCGGCTTCTATACACTTTTGAAAGTTTTGAGTTCCTCTCCGAGAGTTCGTTTGCATGCTGTTTGCCTTCCGCGGTCTAGGGTTTAGGATTTAAGGCTGAGAGTTTAGGGTTCAAGGTTTAGGGTTTGCGTTGAAGGTTCACGCCTGACTGATTGAGCCTTGACCGAAGCATTCTCAGACCTCGAAACTTGCGTCGGCGGCCTTGCGTCGGGTCTCAGGCCTCGGCCTTGAGTCTCAGGCCCCGGCCCTCGGGCCTCACGTCGGATCTCGGCCTCAGGTCTCGGACCCAAATCAGGAGACAGAGAGACAGAGAACGCTGAGCGGAATGAGCTCTGGCTGTCTGCGCCGCGGCCGTTCTGCAAAAATGGCTATTGGCAGCCGCGGCTGCGAATGATCGTTTTTTCCGGGGCGCTTGGCCGGCCGAGCCCGATTTCCCAGCCGTGCGGCTGAGCCGCGGCTACGATTCCGAGGGGCTGGGCCGGCCGAGCCGGATTCCACTCGCAGTGCGGCCGTCTGTGCGGCCGCTCCGGGGAAAATGGCCACTCGCAGCCGCGGCTGCACAATTCAAGTGCTTGTGCGCAACCCTTTCCCGAGATTCCCAAAGCAACCACATTGGTTGCCTTCGAAAAACAGAATGGGCGTTTCAGAGTCTCGCCCAGTCCTTACAAACAGTGGGAAATCTGCCGATTCGAGCCTCCGGGTTCCTTAACAATGGTATCCTTATTTAAAACCTCGACCGTATACATAACACTGCGCTTCCCATCCCACGCCGAGGGTCGTGGCCAGCGGCGCTAGCACACCAGCGTAGGAGGCATTAGGCATCACGCCAGGCCTGCATTTCACGTGGGCCCCGCTTCAGACCCTCGGGACCCCAGAGAGCCAGCAGTGACGAGCGGACGCTCGGCCCTGGGACCCGTAGGTTTCTCAGGAGGCCCTAGGAAGCCGAGGCCCGAGGGGGGGGGGCAGCAAGCGGACAGGCGGTGGCCTCCTACAAGCGCGGACAGGCGCACGAGCTGGAAATCTTGACCTCCCCTCCTCGGGACCAGGTTCCGATCACGAACCCTCTTCTGTTGCAGTCCTCGAGCCCGAGAAAAGGGGGCCCTCCAAAACTGACAACAACAAAAACCTCCCGTCCGTCCGTCCTCCTCCTCCTGCTCCTCCTCCTCCTGCTCCTCCTCTTCCTCCTGCTCCTCCTCCTCCTCTTTCTCCTCCTCCTCTTTCTCCTCCTCCTCCTCCTCCTCCTCCTCCTCCTCCTCCTCCTCCTCCTCCTCCTCCTCCTCCTCCTCCTCCTCCTCCTCCTCCTCCTGCGGACTTTGCTCACGACACGAAGGGGGGGGGGTCTGGGGAGCTCGGCCTCACAGCTCGACCCCTGGAGCCGCCCAGGGCGGGCGTCCCCGCCCGCAAGATGCTCGAGGCGGGTCCCGCCGTGGAGGCGAGGAGCCCCCCCGCCCCCCCCGAGGCCCAGGAAGAGCGAGAGCAGGAGGAGGGGGAGGAGGAGGAGGAGGACGACGAGGAGGAGGAGGAGGAGGAGGAGCAGGAGGAGGCAGGAGGAGGAGGAGGAGGAGGAGGAGGAGGAGGAGGGAGGAAGAGGAGGAGGGGGAGGAGGAGGAGGAGGAGGAGGAGGGGGGGGAGGAGAGGGGAGGGGGAGGGAGGGAGGGAAGGAGGGAGGCGGAGGAGACGGAGGCGGACGAGCGGCCTCTGCAGCCAAGACCGACAGCAAGGATGCGCGACATGAGGAGGAAGGCCGCGTAGACGCCAGTGCCGAAGCTCTCTCGAGCGCGGCGGGCCATTGAGAGGGGGTCGAGGATGGACCGAGGAGGCAAGGGTGCAAGAGCACGAGTGCTTGGGAAGGCTGCCCATTCTCATCATCGGTTTCGACGACCTGAAAGTCGTTCACGAAGAACTGTTCCCGAACCGTTTGCGAACCGTGCGGTTTGAGCATCCCTGCTTCCCCGCAGCCGAGCGGCCGTGGACAAGGCCCTTGGGGGCCTTGAAGTTCGCGAGGAGGTGGGTCTGAACCGTTGGTGGAAAGTTTGCGAACATTCGCACACGAGCATTCTTGTTGTCACCCTTCTGCACACAGTATAGGGCAGGCCTAGGTACTCCAGAGTTCGTAATAAAGGGAGGGGGGTCTCATTTCGGGGGGGGGTCTCTTCCAGGCTATCTTGGAGGGCCTGGGGGGGTCTGGGGACGATGTTTTGGAGGGTTCTCCCACGGGGGAGGTCTGAAATGGCTTGTCTTGGAGGGTCCAGACCACCTCCCTTTTATTACGAAATCTGGAGTATTGGTCTCTCTCTCCTTCACTCTCTCCGTCGTGTTCCCGCCTGCTCGAAGTCTGCCCGCGTCAGGAAGCCGTCACCGTCGCGGTCGAGGCTGTCGAACATCCTGTCGACGGCCGACTGCGGCAGCACCTCGGCAGAACGATATTGCAGGCCTCCGAGGCAGTTTCGGACGCTTGGGAAAAAAAGAGGGTTATACAAAGAGGAGGAGGGAGGAGTAGGAGAAGAGCACCTCGGCAGAACGATATTGAAGGCCTCCGAGGCAGAAAATGCCCGTGCTCCCAAGAGAATGGGATGAGTTTTGCCTATTGGGGCCCTGTGGGGTCCTCCAGGACCCTCGGTTTTGGCGTCTTGGAGGCTTCTTGGGCTGTCTTGAGGCCATCTCGGGGCGACTGGTTGCCATCCGGGAGCACACGGGGGCCAGTCTGGATCGTCTAGGAACCCCTGGGAGCCACTTCGGAGCCGTCGGGGGCTGTCTAGGAGCACCTCTGAGGCGGCTGGGGCCGCCGGAACTTTTGAACACACACACACACACACACACACCCTCCAAACAGGCCAGACGGAGATCCCGGAGGAGAGGTTTGGGAAGGGGCAACAGTCTCAAACGCCGTACGGTTCCTGCGAGCGCCATTGACTCGGCGACGATTTGGCGACCGAAGGGACGGGGGCGGAAGGATGGATGGGGAGAGGAGGAGGTGGAGGAGGCGGAGGAGGAGGAGGAAATGGAGAAACATAAAATCACGTAAATCGGCTACCTAAGATCAAGTATGGCCTCGGCATCCGCGGGCCCTGAGTGGCCAGCGGTGTAGCGCAAGCCAGAGGAACAGATCTTCCTCGCCGCAAGGGGCGCTCGGAACGCTGAACGGGCGGCCAGGTGTCGGCCCTGCCCGCGAAGGCCGGACTTCCGAAACATCGGCGAGGACGCAGAAGGACACCCTGGTACTATGCGTCGTCCCTGAAGGCGTGCCACCGACCCGAACATACAGTACAAGCATCTTGTAGTATACCGTGCCCCGGGCGGCATGGCCAGAACGCGCCCGCCACGGAGCTTATGCTGTAAAAGGTCGCGGCATTCGCGTCGCCCCTGGGGCGGCGACGCACACATAGCATCAGTGTGCTCGGGGGACGCCGAGGCTCCGGCACCTCAACCGATGTCTGCGGCCGAGGGAGCCCCAACAGGGGTGCCCGACGCCCCAGCATCAAGTGGGCCCGAGGGGGCAGGGCTCGCAAGCAGTCTCGGAGCGAAAACGGGGGAATGCCCGAAGTCGGGGCGCGAGCCTCCCAAAGGCCAATCCCCAGTGCTGCAGCTCGGCCGAGTCTTCGCCCGGAGCCCGAAACTGGTTGTCTTTGCCCAACCACGGTGAGGCCCCTCCGCGGAAGGCTCCGCGGAGGTCTCCCTGGAGGTCCGTGGAAGCACTCGGAGGCATCGCGAAGCCCGGCAAGGGGCCAGAAGCGCCCGAAAACCTCTATCCTCGAGCCCTCGATCCTCGAGGAGGCCCCCTGGACCCCCGACGTCGTGCACTTGTTAACAACCCCGCGGCCTCCCGCTCTGCCTCCCTCCCTCCTCGTGCACGGTGGCCAATTCGCTACAGCGGTGCCCCCGTTTAATTAGCTTCTTCCGCCAGCGCAGACGACCCCTGCCTAGCCGCCGACGAAGAAAAGTTGTTGTTCACAGCGTGGACCCCTGGATGTCTCGAACCTTCCCCGTGGACCTGCTTGTTTTTGTTGAACCGCCTGGGGACCCGGTGAGCGCACCCCGGATGCCGAAAATGGATCCCGTCGTCATTTGCTCACGACGCGATGGGGTCTGGGTGCGGGGTCCCAAGGAATGCAACCCTGCGACCCATCCAGGCGTGCCTTTGGGCCAGAATACCGACGGAACGAATCCAGTGGTGGCGACGAGTAGCGCGACAGGTAATTATCCAACAGCACAGGAAAAAACCCAGAGTCCGTGATCCTCGAGCCCCGATCATCAAACCTCGACAGGTTTTCGGGCCATAGATCGAGCCTCCTGCCGCTGTTCCGGACGATTCGAGCAACCCCAGAACGCCGGCGGCCAGGCGTTCTGGTGGAGAGCATCCCGAGGCGAGATAACCTTCAAGAACCAGCGAAAACCTTCGAACACCTTTGAAAACCCACGACAACCCGGCGTCCCCAGACATCCGACGTCTTGAGTTTCTCCACTCGCCATCGCTCGGACGTCCATTCCCTGTGTTTTGTTGGTTCTGTGCGTGGTTTTTTCACCAAATGATCAAGGATGCTCCTCGATGGCCATCGCCGAAGCAAAAAATGCACACGTCTGAGCGATGCCCAGTCCATGCGGGGCCCCTCCAGAGGCCTGGACCTTTTCCCCAGGGCCGGCTCTTCATCCCGAGTCGTTGCTTGACGCTCCCCCGGGGGGCCCAGCGAGTGCCCCCCGCCAACTGCGGTCTGGGCATCCACGCCCAGACCACGCTGAGTTTCGAGACGTTGGGCTTCTCGAGCCATTGAGTTCTCAACCCCGGTGCGCTTTCAAATGCAGCGCTGAGCTTCTCGATACGTTGGAGCTCTGGGTCTGGGCCTGATGCCACCCCCAGGAGGGTCGCGCGGACCGGCCGCGAGAATCTCGGGCGGCAGAAGCGGCCCTGCGGAGCATCGCTTAGCTGGCCCGTATCCCGACATTGGTATGGCCTTGGCCCCACTGGCCGACTTACAGTCGAGGTTGCTTGGAGAAGGCAGGCGAGAGGACACGAGATCCTTCCGAGGGCCATATGGCCATAGGAGTGTAGAGGGCACGGGACGCGAAACACAGGACACGAGGGTACCCTTGACCTGGCAGGGTCGACCTACTAATCAGCCTCGACTGTATAACCCTGGAAATAAGCTGCTCCCTTCGGACTTCCAGGGGCCTACCCCCAACTGGGGTGATGGGATGGTGGGGCTGAGATGCCATACAATAACCGTGTCACCATAGAAAATGCCAGATAAGGGACGAAGGGGCGTTTCTGTAATCGGCGAGCCTCGGCCACGAACAGGTTCCCCGGCCCAAATGTAAGGAAAGGTCCGAAAACCGAAGCTCCTCCTGAGCCCAAGGTGGTCCTTATTTCGGCGTCTTGACTGTAGCCTGGTGTGGACGGGGATCGGTTAAACGATACGTAGCACCCCGCAATTGCGGATAAGAGTGAGGGGGCGGGCGCGGGCGACGCGGGCGTCGTCGGCGCCCTCCTCCTCCTCCTCCTCCTCCTCCTCCTCCTCCTCCTCGTCCTCGTCCTCGTCCTCGTCCTCATCCTCATCCTCCTCCTCCACCTCGGCCTCCTCGTCCTCCTCCTCCTCTTCTTCCTCTTCCTCCCTCTCCCCCCCTCGTCCTTTCATCATCGTCCTCCCATGTTTCGTCCTCCCCCTCATCGGCCTCCATCATCGTCCTCCCATTGTCGTCCATCATCATCATCATCATCATCATCATCATCATCCTCCTCCTCCCCCTCCTCCCCCTCCTTCCCCCTCCTCGTCCTCCTGCTCCTCCTCCTTTTCTTTCTCCACATTCTCCTTACATCCTCTCTTCTTCCGCGTCCTCCTCGTCCCCTGTTTACTCCTCCTGCCTCCCCCTCCTTTCCCAAGATAACTGCAACGCAATCCTTTTTCCACTTTATGCTCCCCGACTTCTCTGATCAAGGCAACTCGCCAGGGCAAAGTTGCTGGACGGGCTGGTGTGGATGCGCGGGGCTTGAAGAGGTCCTTGCGGGCTCAGACGGCATGCAAAAATCTGCCGCCGCGCTTGTGCGGCATTGGTTTGTTCAGTGAACGTGGTTTGGGTCGCGGGTGGGTCGCGGGCTCTCCACCTCCACCTGGAAGGAATGCAAAAGCAGCCCGCCGCAGGCGCCCAAAAAATTGGTTTGTACACTGAACGTGGTTTGGGTCGCGGGTGGGCCGCGGGTTCTCCACCGGGAACGATGCAAAAGATGCCCGCCGCAGGCGCCGAAAAATGTGGTTTGTACCCTGAACGTGGTCGCGGGTGGGCCGCGGGCTCTCCACCTGAAACGAATACAAAAGATGCCCGCCACAGGCGCCGAAAAATGTGGTTTGTACCCTGAACGTGGTTTGGGTCGCGGGTTGGTCGCGAGCTGGTCACGGGGTGGGTCGCGGGCTCTCCACCTGGAAGGAATGCACAAAAAGCCCGCCACAGGCGCCGAAAATTGTGGATTGTACCTTGAACGTGGTTTGGGTCGAAGGTGGGTCGCGGGTGGGTCGCGGGGTGGGTCGCGGGTGGGTCGGGTGGGTCGCGGGTGGGTCGCGGGTGGGTCGCGGGTGGGTCGCGGGGTGGGCCGCGGGCGGGTCGCGGGGTGGGTCGCGGGTGGGTCGCGGGTGGGTCGCGGGTGGGTCGCGGGGTGGGTCGCGGGGTGGGTCGCGGGGTGGGTCGCGGGTGGGTCGCGGGTGGGTCGCGGGTGGGTCGCGGGGTGGGTCGCGGGGTGGGTCGCGGGTGGGTCGCGGGGCGGGTTGCGGGTGGGACGACGACAACAAACAACAACAACAACAAACAACAACAACAACAACAACAACAACAAACAACAACAACAACAAACAACAACAACAACAACAACAACAACAACAACAACAACAACAACAACAACAACAACAACAACAACAACAACAACAACGAGAATCCGCACCGCGGAATTCCACTTCAGCCACGCACCCAGGGACAGTGAATGACCGTTCGGCCCCCTCACTCTGACTTACACTCGCGGCCGTCAAGTCTGGCACACCTGGCGGCCTTCGGGAGCCGGAGTCAGCTGGAGTCGGGCGGGGCTGGCTGAGAGGCTGACTGCCCAAATCTCGACGATGTGTTGTACTGTCTTCACTGGAGCTTTCACCCTAGATTTCAAGCCTGGGGAGCCGGGCCCAGCCTCGGGACCACCCAACGTGTATCCGGGACGCCACATCTGCGCCCATGGAAGGGGTCTGCGCCTCCGAGGCACGCGGATGGAACAAAACGGATCGGCGGATGACGGGGTATCTGTCGCGGGGCCATTGTCCGGGGCCACACCCCCAGTCCCCTCGAGATTCGGCTCGGGGTTCTTAAGCGTGTTCGTCGCACGTCTGGACCTCCAGGACGCTTCGTCGCCACGGCTGGATCCGCCTCGAAATTCTAGTCGGAGCGCACCCCTGGATGGGCCCCAAGATCGGTTCTGAGCCCCGCAGACCCCCTCGCGTCAGAAAAATCGCGACGGAAGGTTTTTAGCCATCTTCGGTCTCCGAAATAACTCGCCGAGGCCATCAACTGAAAGACTGGGACTGAGGGGAAACGATAAACGGGGGAGCGAAGAAACATGCCCCTTTCGGGCCCCTGATCGACCCCAAGCGCCTCCTCTCGGGCTCCTAAGATGCACAAGAAGGGTGTCGATTCTGGAACCCTGAACCAAAAAACGTTGTCATCTCTTGGGGGCACATCCTTTATTTCCGCCGCTTTCTTCTGGTCTTCCACCAGCTTCCGCCGGCGGGGGCGCCCTCGTTCTACTTCCGCAGCCTTCCGCCGAGGAAGAGATGGCAACTCCTCCGACCCTCAAAGGTGGGGCCCTTCCTGAAACGAACCATGCGTATAGCCCCCCCCATCACGCCATGCCCGGCAACCCCCGAATGACCCCCGCGGCCCTCCCCCCCCCGCGTGGACGCCGAGCCCCGCGCCGCTGGCAGCCACCGCCTGGCGCCCAGGGCTGCGCCGCGCGCAAGGGCCTGGCCCTGCTCGACGAGGGAGTCCGCGTCGGAGTCGCTGCGGCGGGGATTGTTGGGTTGCGCCGAGGATGAAGCGCACAGTTTTTTGATTCGCGGGTCGAGAGCGCACCTCTTCCAGTCGAAGCTAAGCGGGCCGCGCAAAGTTGAATTAACCAGAGATGGGGGAGGAAAAGGGGGGCGCAGCCTGTCAGCAAAATGTGGCGCGCAACTAGCAGAGACAATTTGGCACAGCGTGGCGGCATTAACAAGTCGAAAGACGAACACCCTGCGGCGGGGGAGGCTGGGGGGCGGGGGGTGGCAACGCCAGGGACAGCGCTGGGACACAGGGCCCGAACATGTCCACATCCGTCGCCCGCCGAGGTCCCCGGAGATCGATCCCCCTGGGCGGTCATGATGGACAAGCCCCCGCCCCGGATGCCTGGCGGCGCGCGCAGGAAGGAGGTGGCGCGAGGAGCACGGCCTTCGGAGAAGGCGGGGGGGGCCTCTCGGAAGCCAGGGGGCCTTCTCTCTGGAGGACCCGGAGGCTTCTCGAAGGGCCTCTCGGAAGCCAGGGGGCCTTCTCTCTGGAGGACCCCGAGGCTTCTCGAAGGGCCTCTCGGAAGCCAGGAGGCCTTCTCTCTGGAGGACCCGGAGGCTTCTCGAAGCGCCTCTGAAGGAGCGATCGGGCGACTCCCGGGAGGCCACCGCCCTCCCAGGAGCCCCCCCCGCCCGCTCGGAGGGCTGCCCCCCTCGCCCCACGCCCTGGGTCGCGCCACCGAGGGGAGAGAGGGACAGCGCTGGGTGAAGGGGCCCTGGGACGCACAAACAAATCGACACAAACAACAGGATTCCCCATATTTTCGCATATCTTCTGGGTTGTTGTCTCTCCCCCCACTTCCCATATTTTCCCATAGTTCCTGGGGAATCGACGCTGAATTGTATCTGTGTTTTTTTCCCTCCTGAGCCCTCCGCCGCGCCGCCGAGAGGAGAGAGGGACAGCGCCGGGGGCGGGGGGCAGGAGAAGCTCGAGAGTCACCTGCACACTCGTACACCACCAGTGCCTGGCCAGGCTGATGGGCCTGTTTCCCACCACCACCACCACCAGAAGTTGGAGGGAGGTGGAGGACGAGGAGGAGGAGGAGGAGGAGGACGAGGAGGACGAGGAGGATGAGGAGGAGGACCCCCTCCCCCTCCAAGTTATGGTGGTGGTGGTGGTGGAAAGCAGGCCCATCACGGGTGCCATCCTCGGCCTCCTGGCCGCGGCCGGGAGTTTCTGGACGGGGGGGTCAACGCTGGGGTCGGGCTCCCCTGGATTCTGGTTGAAACAGCCGTCGCTCTAAACTCGCGTGGGCCACTCCCAAACGACCACGCCCAAAACGACCACTCGAAACTCCCTGTGACATGGCGAACCCAATCCCCGACCTTGGCGGGTTCGACTGCACCACAAATTTGGGGCCCAACTCTGGGATACACGATGGTCGGCGTCCATCCTCGATGGGGATGCGTCCGACTAGCTCTGTGAAGGTGTATCCCCGACTTCCCCTCTTTTCTGAGAAACCTGTCTTTTCGGGCGCAACTCGGAGTTTGGTGCAGAAAAACGCCTGTGAGGAAGTGCTGGGGCAGAGGATGCGCAGAAGTCACCTACACTTGGCGGCACGCACCAGGGGACACGCGGAAGGGGGAAAGCTACTTAGAAGGAGGCTGCTTCTTTGAAGGCGCCGGCCCTGCATCTACAGATACGGCCCGCGGCTTCTAAGAAGCGGGGTGCTTCTAAGAAGCCTTCCCCCCTCTGAACGAGGCCGGGCTGCGGCAGAGGATGCGCAGAAGTCACCCACAAATTTGTACACCACCACCACCACCACCACCATGCATGGCCTGTGCCACCCGTGGGCTCCCAGCCTCGGCGGGGAACCTCTAGACGCCATCCCAGGGCACCGGACGCTGCTGGCCTGGCGCGGTGGTAGCGCATGCGAGGGGCAAAAATCCCAGACTCCCTCGGGTCATAGAAAAATCACGACGGCGTTTTTTGCTACTTCGGCCTCTGGGGGCTCGCACCAGGCCTCGGGACCGTCAAAAAACGACTCGGGTCGACAAGCTGGTCCCGGGGAATGGCTCGAGACCTCCAGGGGTGCACGTCATGAAAAAAATCATGACGTCAGGGGTCTGGGATACGGTGGGGGTAGACAGAAGGGGGATGCATCGAATTCGAAATGGCCGATACATCGCTCATGTATCGTCGAAGCATCGTCGACGCAGACCGTCCCATGTATCGTCTCTGCATCGTCGACAAATCGCCCTGAAATCAACAATGCATCGTCGATGTCTCAACCATTCGAGGTCGATGCATCTCCCCCTTTGCCTGTCCCCCCCTATCATGGCCCCCGACTGTAGGCGCCTCCTGCGGAGGAGCCACCCCCGGCGTTATCGGTCCCCCCTTCGGGTATGTAAATCATATATGTTTCTGACCACATGTCCACCCTAAATATGAGTGTACACTATCCCACGGGGGCCGGGATCGGTCCCCCTGAGGCTCCCTTGTAAAAAACAATACGCGGGACAATTTGTGCTCTAAAAAAATACTTGTTCACGAATCCCTTGCCCCCCCCAGGGGAGAAGAAAAAAAAAAAAAAAACGAAATGCACGCGCGCGTCGTCGCGCGCGCATGCCGAAATCCTTCGAAAACCTTCGGTGTCGGCAGGATGTCGCTTTCGAGTTTCCAAAAACTATACAAAAGCACAAGGTTTCGCAACACTGATTTGCTAGAAAAACTTACGCGCGAGTTATTTGTTTTCACAAAATGCTACCAAACGGGCTTCGCGCGCGCGCATGTCGAAGTCTGTCGAACGCCCTTGCGCGTGTGCGGTCGCGAGAATCCTCTGCAAAAAATTGGACGAAGTGCAGACGCGCGCGTCGTCGCGCGTGTATGCCGAAATCCTTCAAAACCCATCGGCTTCGGAAGGATTTCGACATCGTGTCAACAATAAAAACCTACAAAAGCACAAGGTTCCGCAACACGGACTTTCAACAAAAGCGTGCGCGCGCGCTCTTGCGTCGTCGTCGTCGTCGCCGTCCTCCCTCCTCCCGCGTCGTCGTCGTCGTCGCCTACGTCGTCCTGTCATTCCTCGTGTTCGTCGTCGTCGTCCTCTTTGGCGTCGTGGTCGTTTCCGTCGTCGTTGTCGCCGTGGTCGTCTTTCCTCCTCCTCCCTCGTCGTCGTCGTCTGTCGTCGGCGTCTCGTCGTCGTCCCTCCTATTTCGTCGCCGTCGTCGTCGTCGTCGTCGTCGTTGTCGTCGTCGTCGTCCCTCCTCCCTCGTCGTTGTCGTCGTCTGCGTCGCCGTCCTTCCTCCTACTTCGTCGTTCGCGTCGTCGCCGTCCTCCCTCCTCCCTCGTCGTTGTCGTCGTTGTCGTCGTTGTCGCCGTCGTCGTCCTCCCTCCTCCCTCGTCGTCGTCTTCGTTGGCGACGTCGTCGTCGTCTTCGTCGCCGTCGGCGTCGGCGTCGTCGTCGTCGTCGTCGACGTCGGCGTCGTCGCCGCCGTCGTCGTCGTCGTCGTCGTCGTCGTCTGCGTCGTTGACGTCGTCGTCGTCGGTGTCGTCGTTGTCGTCGTCGTCGGCGTCGTCGGCGTCGTCGTCGTCGGCGTCGTCATCGTCGTCGTTGTCGTTGTCGTCGAAGTCGTGGGAGTCGTCGTCGGTGTCGTCGTAGTCGGCGCTGGCGTCCTCGTAGTCGTCGTCGTCGTCGTCGTTGACGCTGTCGTCGTCGGCGTTGGTGTCGCTGCCAAGCGGAATTTAGTACCTACCGTCACGGTATTAAGAGGTCTTGCGACCAAGTTGCGGGTAGGGGGGTGGGATGTTTGCACGAGCAGTGGAGAGGACAGCTTCAAGACAGGCAAAGAAAATTGCACCACGTAGATTGCACCGCGAAGTGTGCACCACGGAGCTTGCACGATATAAATTGAACCACACAGATCGCACCACCCACATGGACTGCACAATCTGCGTTACACAACATAGCTTGCACAACGCAGACTGAAGCGCATAGATTCTCCTTTCTCAAAAGAGAATAGACTCTACCCCCCCTCCGGCGATATCCCCCCCCCTTTCGGGTATGTAAATCATGTATGATTCTGACCACATGTCCATCCTAAATCTGAACGTACGCTATCCCAGGGGGGGCCGGGATCGGTCCCCCTGAGGTTCCCTGGTAAAAAAACAATAAACGGGGACATTTTGTGTTCTAACATAGGACTTTTTTCGCGAATCCCTGGCAAAAAAAACGGGACGAAATGCACACGCGCGCGTCGTCGCGCGCGCATGCCGAAATCCTTCAAAAACCTTCGGTGTCGGAAGGATTTCGCAATCGAGTTCCCCAAAAAACATACAAAAACACAAAGTTTCGCAACACTGATTTGCTAAACAAGCTTACGCGCGAGCCCATTGGTTCTTCAAGATTTTCACAAAATGCTATCAAACGGGCTTCGCGCGCGCGCATGTCGAAGTCAGTCGAACGCCCTTGCGCGTGTGCCGTCGCGAGAATCCTCTGCAAAAAATTGGACGAAGTGCAGACGCGCGCGTCGTCGCGCGTGTATGCCGAAATCCTTCAAAACCCATCGGCTTCGGAAGGATTTCAACATCGTGTGTCAAAAAAACCTACAAAAACACATGGCTCCGCAACACGGATTTTCAACAAAAGCGTGCGCGCGCGCTCTTGCGTCGTCGTCGTCGTCGCCGTCCTCCCTCCTCCCGCGTCGTCGTCGTCGTCGCCTACGTCGTCCTCTGTCTTTCCTCGTGTTCGTCGTCGTCGTCCTCTTTGGCGTCGGGGTCGTTTCCGTCGTCGTTGTCGCCGTGGTCGTCCCCCCTCCTCCCTCGTCGTCGTCGTCGTCGTCGTCGGCGTCTCGTCGTCGTCCCTCCTATTTCGTCGCCGTCGTTGTCGTCGTCGTCTTCCCTCCTCCCTCGTCGTTGTCGTCGTCGGCGTCGCCGCCCTTCCTCCTTCTTCGTCGTTCGCGTCGTCGCCGTCTTCCCTCCTCCCTCGTCGTTGTCGTCGTTGTCGTCGTTGTCGCCGTCGTCGTCCTCCCTCCTCCCTCGTCGTCGTCTTCGTTGGCGACGTCGTCGTCGTCTTCGTCGTCGTCGTCGGCGTCGGCGTCGGCGTCTTCGTCGTCGTCAACGTCGGCGTCGTCGTCGTCGCCGCCGTCGTCGTCGTCGTCGTCGTCGGCCTTCTTGCTTCTCCGGCCTTCTTGGGGCGCTCTTGAGGCGCCCCCGAGGGCTCCAAGACGACCCCGTCGCCGTCGTCGTCGTCCCTCCTCCCTCATCGTCGTCTTCGTTGGCGACGTCGTCGTCGTCTTCGTCGTCGTCGTCGTCGGCGTCGGCGTCGTCGAAGTCGTCGGTGTCGTCGTCGTTGTCGTCGTCGTTGTCGTCGTCGAAGTCGTCGGAGACGTCGTCGGTGTCGGCGTAGTCGTTGTCGTCGGTGTCGTCGCACTCGGTCTTAAGAGGTTTTGCAAACCAAGTTGCGGGTGGGTGGGTGGGATGTTTGCAAGAGCGTGGGACGTATCAAATCATGAGTAAAAATCAATTGCACCACATAGATTGTACAACATATGTTGTACTGCAGTGGTTGCAAAAACTGAATAGCCAGAAAAACACGTAGATGAATATGTATATATGTATTGTGTATGTGTACATGTATACGCACAGCATAGTCAAAGTAAGTAATGTCTGGAGCGTCGGCGCTCAAACTGTGGGCCGACGGGCGCCGCCACCGCGGGAACGGCCGCCGCGGGGGCCTGCTGGAGGCGTCCTCGCGGCCCAGGAGGCGCGCCGCGCGGCCGCCGCGCCTGCCCATGAGCAGAGGTATCCGCCGAAAGAGGGGCGGGCGGGGAGGGGGCGGAGGCAGGGGTGAGCAGATGCGGAGAGGGGAGAGAGGGAGGGGAGGGGAGGGAGAGGAGGGGGACGAGGGAGAGGGGGTGGAGGCGGCGAGGAACGAGGGGGAGGAAAGGGGGGAGGAGAGGGGGAGGGAGAGAGGGAGGAAGAGATAGAGAGAGAGAGAAAAGAAAGATATCGATTGACATAATATATATATAGATATATATATATATATATATATTATATACACACATATATATATATATATATATATATATAATATATATATATATATATCGGAGGTGAGGGGGTGAGATCGAAGTGGAACGGAGAGCCCCCCCTACCGGGAATCGGTTTCGGTTTCGTGTTCGTGCGTGCCGTGCGGGCGAGGCGAAGATGCGTGGGCGGGCGAGAGAAAGTCTCCTGTGGCTGAGGCGCGGCCGGACCAAATGACTCCCTTCCGGGCGGCCGGGGCCCCGCGGTGTCCCGCCGGTGTCCCGTGTGGCTGAGGCGCGGCCGGACCAAATGATTCCCTTCCGGGCGGCCAGGGCCCCGCGGTGTCCCGCCGGTGTCCCGCGGTGTCCCGCGGAGTCCCGCGGTGTCCCGCGGTGTCCCGCGGTGTCCCGCCGGTGTCCCGCGGTGTCCCGCGAGGATGACGATGATGAGATGATGATGATGATGATATGAGATGAGATGAGATGAGATGAGATGAGATGATGATGATGGTGATGCTGCCCCGATGAAGATGATGATGATGTTGATGATGGTGTCGATGATGATGATAGTGTCCCGATGATGAGGATGATGATGCTCATGATGATTATGTTGATGATGATGACGATGCTGGTGTCCCGATGATGATGATGATGATGATGATGATGCCGATGATATTGGTGATGATGATGTTGATGGACATGGTGTCCCCGAATCAAGGTGTTCATGATGATGATGTTGATGATGACTATGGTGCCCCAATGATGATGATGATGATGGTGATGATGATGGTGATGCTGATGGTGTCCCGATGATGATAACAATGATAATGGCGACGTTGATGATGCTGTTGTTCATGATGATGATGGTGCCCCAATGATGATGATGCTGTTGTTGGTGATGATGATGTCGATGATGATGATGAGATGATCATGATGATGGTGTCCCGAATATGACGACGATGTTGATGATAATGTTGATGATGAGAACGATGGTGATCATGATGGTGTCCCGATTATGATGATGATTCTGATGATGATGCTGATGATGATGACGATGACTGTGTCCCGATGATGATGATGATGTTGGTGATGGGATGATGATGGTGATGATGATGATGTTGTCACGATGATGCTGCTGACGTTGGTGATGAGGTTTACGATGATGATGATGACGGTGCCCTCATGATGATGACGATGTTGGTGATGATGTTGATGTTGATGGTGATGATGATGATGATGATGACGTTGATTGTGAGAGCGAGTGAGATATCGATCGTGAGATCGATATTGAGACCGAGTGCGAGATCGATTGTGTGATCGATTGTGAGATCGATTGTGAGATCAATTGTGAGATCGATCGAATGATATAAATCAAGTGAGATCGATTGTGAGATCGATCGAGTGAGATCGATCGAGCGAGACCGATAGTGAGATCGATACTAAGATCGACAGTGAGACCGATCGAGTGAGACGTTGGTCCCCCCCCCCCGAACCTCCATATCAGCCGAAGGGTGGTCGTATAGGTATCGGAGGTGAGGGGGTGAGATCGAAGTGGAACGGAGAGCCCCCCTACCAGGAAGTCGATTTCGGTTTCGTGTTCGTGCGCGCCGTGCGGGCTAGGCGAAGCTGCGTGGGCGGGCGAGAAAAAGTCTCCTGTGGCTGAGGCGCGGCCGGACCAAATGTCTCCCTTCCGGGCGGCCGGGGGCCCGCGGTGCCCCGCCGGTGCCCCGCTGGTGCCCCGTGTGGCTGAGGCGCGGCCGGACCAAATGACTCCCTTCCGGGCGGCCGGGGGCCCGCGGTGTCCCGCTGGTGCCCCGCTGGTGTCCCGCGGTGCCCCGCGGCGCCCCGCGGTGCCCCGCCAGTGTCCCGCGGTGCCCCACGAGGATGATGATGATGATGAGATGATGATGATGATGATGATGATGATGATGATGACATGATGATGATGGTGCCCCGATGAAGATGATGATGTTGATGATGGTGTCGATGATGATGATAGTGTCCCGATGATGAGGATGGTGATGCTCATGATGATTATGTTGATGATGATGACAATGATGGTGTCCCGATGATGATGATGATGATGATGATAATGATGATGATGATTCCGATGAGGTTGGTGATGATGTTGATGGAAATGGTGTCCAGGCGGTCATGATGACGATGATGATGTTGACGATGATTATGGCGCCCCAATGATGATGCTGATGATGATGATGGTGATGATGATGGTGGTGCTGATGGTGTCCAGATGATGATAATAATGGTAATGACGATGTTGATGATGACGTTGCTCATGATGATGATGGTGCCCCAACGATGATGATGATGATGATGATAATGATGCTGTTGATGCTGACGTCGATGATGATGATGATACGATGATCATGATGATGATGGTGTCCCGGGGATGATGACGATGCTGATGATAATGTTGATGATGAGAACGATGGTGATCATGATGGTGTCCCGATTGTGATGATGATTATGATGATGCTGCTGATGATGATGACGACGACTGTGTCCCGATGATGATGATGATGCTGATGATGTTGATGATGAGATGATGATGGTGATGATAACGATGATGTTGTCCCGGTGATGATGCTGACGTTGATGATGATGTTTGTGATGATGATGATGATGCTGACGGTGCTCATGATGATGACGATGTTGGTGATGATGTTGATGTTGATGATGTTGATGATGATGATGACGTTGATTGTGAGAGCGATTGTGAGAGCGATAGTGATATCGATATTGAGACCGAATGCGAGATCGATTGCGCGATCGATTGTGAGATCGATTGCTAGATCAATTGTGAGATCGATCGAGCGAAGACAATAGTGAGATCGATACTGAGATCGATAGTGAGACCGATCGAATGAGACGGCGGCCCCCCCCCCCCCCCCCGAAACTCCTTATCACCCGAAGGGTGGTCGCATAGGTATATGCATACATCGGAGGTTGGGGGGTGAGATCGAAGTGGAACGGAGAGCCCCCCTACCGGGAAATCGATTTCGGTTTCGTGTTCGCGCGTGCCGCGCGGGCGAGGCGAAGCTGCGCGGGCGGGCTAGAGAAAGTCTCCTGTGGCCGAGGCGCGGCCGGACCAAATGATTCCCTTCCGCGCGGCCGGGGCCCCGCGGTGCCCCGCCGGTGCCCCGCTGGTGTCCCGCGTGGCTGAGGCGCGGCCGGACCAAATGATTCCCTTCCAGGCGGCCGGGGCCCCGCGGTGCCCCGCCGGTGCCCCGCGGTGCCCCGCGGTGTCCCGCGGCGCCCCGCGGCGCCCCGCCGGTGCCCCGCGGTGTCCCGCGAGGATGATGATGATGAGATGATGATGATGATGATGATGATGATGATGATGAAATGATGATGGTGTCCCGATGAAGATGATGATGATGCGGATGATGGCGTCGATGATGATGATAGTGTCCCGATGATGAGGAAGATGATGCTCATGATGATGATGTTGATGCTGATGACGATGATGGTGCCCCGATGATGATGATGATGATGATGATTCCGATGATGTTGGTGATGATGATGTTGATGGAAATGGTGTCCCGGCGATAATGATGTTGATGATGATGATGATGTTGATGATTCTGGTGTCCCGATGATGATGCTGATGATGATGGTGATGATGTTGATGGTGATGCTGATGGTGTCCCGATGATGATAATAATGAAAATGACGATGTTTATGATTATGTTGTTCATGATGATGATGGTGCCCCAATGATGATGATGTTGTTGATGATGATGTCGATGATGATGATGATGATGCGATGATCATGATGATGATGGTGTCCCGAGGATGATGACGACGTTGATGGTAATGTTGATGATGAGAAAGATGGTGATCATGATGGTGTCCCGATTATTATGATGATTATGATGATGCTGTTGATGATGATGACGATGACGATGACTGTGTCCCGACGATGATGATGATGATGCTGATGATGAGATGATGATGGTGATGATGACGATGATGTTGTCCCGATGATGATGCTGACGTTGATGATGATGTTTTTGATGATGATGAGGACGGTGCCCTCATGATGATGACGATGTTGGTGATGATGTTGATGTTGATGATGTTGATGATGATGATGACGTTGATTGTGAGAGCGATTGTGATATCGATAGTGATATCGATATTGAGACCGAATGCGAGATCGATTGTGTGATCGATTGTGAGCTCGATTGCGAGATCAACTGTGCGATCGATCGAATGAGATAGATCGAGTGAGATCGATCGAGCGAGACCGATAGTGAGATCGATACTGAGATCGATAGTGAGACCGATCGAGTGAGACGTCGCCCCCCCCCCCCCCCCCGAAACTCCCTTATCACCCGAAGGGTGGTCGTATATATATATATATATACACAAACATACATACATACATATAAATTGCTTGGCAAGAGATCTCATGATTCGAGGTGGCGTTGGGGCCCCGCAAGACGCCGCGGCAAAGGCGGCGAGCAACTTGACGGGGGGGTCGGACTGGCTGCGGAGCCGCACCGATGTAGGCAATGATAGCCCCGTCCTGGGGGTGCCAGGAAGTGACGGCGGGTGGGCAGCCAGGAAGAGTCCGAGTCAGAGTCGGAGCCTGGAGTGGCCGCGTCGTGGTCGGGGCGGCGCGTCCAAGGGGTGCCCTCGGCGACCAGGCGCTCTGCGTCGGCGAGGGTGGAGTGGGGCCCTCCTCTTGCGCAAAGATAGCCACACAGCAAGGTCGCCGGGGCTGCGCCGTG